AGCGCTTTTTGCACATTGGAATGTACTGAGTACATGGTTTTCATTACTTTCTTTGACTATATTATGTAGCGAAAACAACGAGAGCGATGCATCGACCTGAAGTCTAATTGGTGACGGCGTTTTGGTGAGGTGGCCTCAGTAGTTCCAAATGCTTCATATGTCATTGTATGGAGGAGCCAAGAAACCCGTCGTGATGTCTGTTATGGACTATTCTATGCGTGCTCAATGGCACAACTCGTGCTGTTCCACCCAGCGTCCCGCCTTATCTACTGCTGCGCAACTCATCAGCCATATTCTGGCCGGATAAGCTCAGCATTGTGGTGCCTCAGCACTTGGAGCTACATATTCGTCTCATCAGCTGGTCGGATACCTTGAATATGGTCCAAAGAAACTCGGTTCCCTCTGCACGCTCAATGGCGTGGGTTGTTCTCAGTGTACTTCATAAATCTCCCCCAATGTCTTCAGCATCGTCCCTGATACTGGGAAGATCGTCCATGGGCGTGACGCACATGCTCACTCATCATCATCATCGACAGCCTTGCCCTTCTTCTCCTCCATGCCAATGGTGCCATACCACGCAATGGAAGCCAGACCGATGAACGCCGACACGCAGCTCGCGATGAGCGCAATATACCCCTTGGCCGTGAAGCCCTCTGGCAGCCTCGGCACGGGCTTGTTCTCGCCGCGCAGATCAAACACGTCCCGCGTGTTGCCAGCGGCATTGCCAGCCGTGGGGACGCCCCCCTTGCGGCACGCGTCGAGGTGGTCGGCCGGGATCTCCTGGGCCTGCAGGGCCAGCGGGGCCTCGACAATGGTGGCGACGAGGCCCTGGTCCATGTGCCACTCGATGTGGCAGTGGAAGAGCCAGACGCCGGGGTTGTCGGCGCGGAAGCGGATGACAAAGTTGCCGTTGGGTTCGGCGTAGACCGTGTCCCTGCGCATGGGGACCTTGGGCGGGACGTGAGATTCGTCGTCGATGTAGACGCCGGCATCGGGGCCCGAGCGGTGGACGACCTGGAAGTTGTGGCCGTGCAGGTGGAAGGGGTGCTTTCCGTCGTCGCCGTTGTTGAGGACGAGCTCGACGACGTCGTGGTGGCGGAGCACATGGGAGATGGTGTGGGTGCCGTAGACCCGGGCGTCCGTGGCGTTGGCGCCGCCGACGGTGAGGGCCGAGTAGAGCGAGGGGACCTTGGGGGCGACGTAGGTGAGGTCGTTGAAGAAGGCGCTGATTTGTGTTAGTCTGGGTCCGTCGGCTTCTGGGGGAGAACGGCTCCAAGAGAAGAGTAGACTTGGATGAATGCTTACTAGTTGGCGCCGTCACGGAGGTTGTCCATCTTGACGTCAAAGCTGATGGAGACATCGGGGGTTCCGAGGAGCGGCTCACGGTCAACAGGGACCAGAGCAAAATCGTCGAAGAAGTCAAGCTCATCCACAGGCGTGGGCTTGGGCAGAGCCTTCTTGTCATCGTAGATCAGCCAGCCGGTGACGTTGGAATTTTGGTCCTCGGGGATGATGTCGAACAGCTCCTCGTCCATGGCGCTGACAATGGCAAAGTTCGCCTCGGCATCCGCCTTGGTCGTCAGCAGGACACTGTAGCGCTGGGCCGGCGTGATGTACAGCCTCTCGGCGACGGCCTCCTCAGTCCACACGCCGTCGACCTCGACGATGCGCATCTCGTGGCCCTCGATCCAGAAGTAGTGCGCAGCAAAGGCGCCGATGTTGACGAGACGCAGCAGATAGGTCGTCGACGGCTTGACGGCGACGTGCAGGTTTTGCGTGTCGTTCAACAGAGCAGCCTGGGGAACGGGCTCAGCGCCGGTGGGGTTCTCGACGCTGATGAGCTCATGAATGAGAGAGCGGACGGGCCGGTGGTACCAGTCAGACAAGGAGATGACGAGCTCTTCGTCATACTTGCCCTCGTAGGGGCCCTTGGGGTCATGGATGACGACAGGGCCGCGAAGGCCTTCGGGGTACTGGCCGTCGTTGTGGGCGTGGTACCAGTAGGTGCCAGGCTGGTCAAACTGACAGGGCAGGTCAGCACGACGCAGCAGCCTTGATACAAAAGAAGAAGAAAAGGGGACAGGCAATCCATACCTTGATGTCATAGGTGAAGGAGGATCCGGTGGGAATGGCACACTGGGTCACGCCGACGGCGCCGTCCATGTAGTTGGTGCCATTCTGGAAGAAGCCGTGAAAGTGCAGACTTGTGCTCGCGTTGCCAAGCTCGTTGTGGACGTTGAGCAGCAGCCTGTCACCAACGTTGGCCGTGATGACAGGCAGAGGCCACTGTCCGTTGACGCCGATGGTGGGACGGTGGAAGGCGCCGTCGGGGTTTGCCGTGACCCATCCGACCGTGAAGTCCTTCTCGATGAGGGCCGACTGGGCGAGGCCTGCGAGAGACAAGGCGAGGGCGAGAGCTGTAAGGCCGGAGCGGCAGAAGAGGCCCATGGTGAGGATGTGCCGATGTGGTGTTGAGGAGTAGATGGCAGAGACGGCGGACGGCGGGTGGGGGGGGCTGATCAAGACGGGCCACAAGTCAGGCCATGCACAGGGTGAAGGTCGTTGTACAGCCGTCTACTGCATGCCTGTGAGCTGCGAGATGGAGGGCGCAGCGGAGTCGGCGCTGGGCGAAGTGAGTCGATCGGAATCCCGAGTCTTGTCGCCTTGCATCGCATCATGTGCAGAATTTGAGCGGGCACCATGTGCGTGGCGACTGCCCAATGGAAGGCGCTGACAAGGCTAGGGTGGAGAGTGTTGAAGGTTATCAGATGCATGCGATGCATCAAAGCCTGCTATCTAGTTAAAAGGTCTTTCCTCTCGTCGTCGAGGCATCTCTGAGAAGATTGAGCAAGAGAAGAGAGCAAATATCTTGGAATCGAGAAGAAGAAAAAGGGTTGAGGCCTCGCAAGTTAGAAGAGATTTCGAGATGTCCGAATCATATGCCATGCAGTCGACTTCCACCTGTTGAAAGTTGCCCAAGCTGCACACAGAACACAGGAGAGGACAACCCCTTAGGCGAATATATCCCGCCACGTATGCAGATGCAGGTACGCGGTACCCCACTCGTCTCTCTTATCAGATCCGATACGTTCCGAGCTCGGCCGCCGAGCAGAAACTGCACACCAAGTCAGTCACGCCACCCACCAGAACCACGAGCCAACCACCAGTGTGACAAGGGCGAGGACAAGCTCGACGCAAAGAGACTCACGGACAAGGACGTTGCTGCTCACCTTGTAGCACCGACTGTGTCCTCTCCAGCTCTCACCGTCGCCCGTCCATCGCAGCGTGCTGCCCACCCAACCTCACCATGGAAGACCTCTTCTCTCTTCCCAGTGCGTCGTGCCCCTCCTACTGGTGACATCTCCACAGGCCAGCCAAGCTCATTCATCGCTAGTCTTCTTCATCACCTTTCGCGAGTCGCTCGAAACAGCCATCATCGTCTCTGTTCTTCTCGCCTTTATCAAGCGCACCCTCGACCCTCAACGCGATGCCGTCCTCTACTCGACCATGGTGCGCCAGGTCTGGCTCGGCACCGCCGTCGGCGTCCTCGTCTGCATCCTCCTCGGTGCTGTTCTCATCGGTGGCGTCTATGGCCTCGCCGCCGACGAGATGGGTGGCGCCGAGGACATCTGGGAGGGCCTGTTCTCCCTCGGCGCCTCCCTCGTCATCACCCTCATGGGCGCCGTCCTGCTGCGCGTCACCAAGCTGCAGGACAAGTGGCACGCGAAGCTGAGCAAGGCCCTCAGCAGCACGAACGACGACAACGCCCGCCACGGCACCTTCATGGACCGCTTCCGCTTCCTCTCCGAAAAGTACGCCCTCTTCATCCTGCCCTTCATCACCGTCCTGCGCGAGGGCTTCGAGGGCGTCCTCTTCATCGCCGGCGTCGGCATCGGCCTGCCCGTCACCGCCATCCCCCTGTCTGTCCTCTCCGGCCTGCTCGTCGGCGCCGTCGTCGGCCTCATCATCTACAAGGGCTCCAACGTGGCGCCCATCCAGTACTTCCTCGTCTTCTCGACGTGCTTCCTCTACCTCGTCGCCGCCGGCCTCTTTTCCAAGGGCGTCTGGCACCTCGAGGCCCACCAGTGGAACCTCATTGTCGGCGGTGACGCCGCCGAGCTGGGTTCGGGGCCGGGTTCGTACGACATTCGCCGCAGCGTCTGGCACGTCAACGTGAGTTCTTCTATCCCGTCTCCAGCCTCCTCCTCGTCTTCCCCTCCCCCCCGCCCCCCTTTCTTGTGGAGGCCGTCAACTAATGACGCAGTGCTGCAACCCCGACCTCAACGGCGGCGGCGTCTGGGGCATCTTCAACGCCGTCCTCGGCTGGCAAAACTCGGCCACCGTCGGCTCCGTCGTCTCGTACAACCTGTACTGGATCGCCGTCGCCCTGGGCTTCGCTGCCATGGCCTGCCGCGAACAGGGGCGCTGGCCCTTCCACAAGGCCGACGCCGGCAAGCGCGGCGCTGCGCCGGCCGAGGCCGACCGGGAGCCGCTTCTTGCGGGTGGTGCGAGGTAGGTTCCTTTTACCCTGCCACATCTTCTTTTATCAGAGAGAATCAGCGTCGTGAGACTAGTTGCCTGTGAGTAGATCTGCTGGCGATTTGGAGATGCTGCTCTGGGGACTGGGGCGAAAGGCGAAGAGGCCGTGAGCTCTTCGTCCGTCATGATGGAGCGAGACCTACAGTGGTCTCCCCTCTTGGCGTCGGGTATTGTTTCGGACAGATGCAGAGAGGAGCGGCCATGAGTGCGGTTGCGCAGTCCTTCCAAAAGACAGGAAGGACATGCCAACGAGGTGAGAGCACGAACATGCTGGCACGGTGAGAGGATGAAAGAACACATGGGATCCATTGGCCACAGGCCTGGTATGAATCTCGGGAGGGCGCCAGCTAGAAGGCTGCTAGGTCCGCATACATAGGAGAGCATTAGACTGCTTGTCTGTCCTGTACACACCTGAACATGAAATCCCAGCCCACGCAGAAACCTGCTCAAAACGGCTCATGTCAAGCCTTTTCAGTCGTCACCCCCGCAATCCCCCTCATGACGAGCCACCCCGCCAGCAGCCCGTGAAACCACTTCCCCACCGCCGTCTCCAGCATCGTCGCCTTTTCGCCCTCCCGCCGCCAAAGCCACGTCTCGTTGACAAACACGACCTGCCGCGCGGCCTCGGCTTCGGCCTCGGTCTCGGCCCCACCCCGCACCTCGGCGACGATGATGCCCCGTACCTCCGGCCCCGTCCAAGAAGGCGGCGCCTCAATGACGAGCTCGATGCGCGCCGAGCCGGGCACGTGGCCGGGCCCACGGTACGTGACCTTGTACACGCCGTTGACGAGGTCGTCCTCGTCGAACGCCAGGTTCTGGATCCACGCCGCGTCGAAGCTCCGCCGAATCGCCGGCTCGGGAATCGACGCCCGAATGGCAAACGCCTGCGGCGTCCAGCTGAACGCCGACTGCACCGTTCTCGCGTAGGCGCGCAGCAGCGGCGACGCCTCTGTTCTGCCTGCTGACGAGTGGGCGTCCGGCGCCTTGGGCTGCCGCTGGTGTCGCGACACGCGCCGCGCGGGCACGGGGTTCGACACGGCGCGCTCGTAGGCGAGGACCCAGGTGGAGGGGTCGGATGCGACGTCCTGCGGCAGGCTGAGGGGCAGTGGTGGCGTCTCCGCCGCTGCTGACGATGAGGCTGCTGCTGCTGCTGACGGGCGGTGCGCGCGGCGTCCGCTCGACAGAGTCGCCGCACGTGCGATCCGTCGCTCGAGGAGGTAGAGGTAGACTGCGCCCAGGGTGATGGGGAGCAGGCCCCATGTTGCAATATGCGATGCGCTCGGCATCCTTCTCGTCGACTGTGCTTTCCCCTTTTTCTTTTGAGTATTCACGAAACTTGTCTTCTGCGCGAGGCCATCATTTGAAAGCCCTTGGGGGACTGTTGGAGACGAAAAGGACGTTGGCGCGTGAGATTGTCTCAACCTTATGAAGGCTGACTGCCCGTATCTCGCATTCGCGTTCAGCTTGGGGGCTGCCGCGGGTTGCTGACCTTGGCCCAAAACGTGCCCTGCTGATCGCCCGGAATCAGCGTGCCGTCATGTGGCTCGGAAACCTTAATCACCTGAGCCCTTGTCGAGTTGCGATAGGGTCAATCGACTTCTTTGGATGGTTCGTCGACAAGCGTAAGTCATTACTCGGCTACGAGTACCATGGTGATGGTTTCTGGAGGACTTTGCTGATGTCGTGATGATCAGTGACCCCACATGTCGTTAGTCGTACACCTACTGCCATGTCCGTCTGGAATCGACTGTCATGTTGCATCCTGCACTCGTAGCATCACATCGCGCAGATAGTGGTCGTGCGCTCCGCGGCGCGATGCGCTAACCACGAGTCCCGACAAATGGGGGATTGATGCACGTCCCAACAGCCAACCTAGCGGGCGATTTTCAGGACGGACGTCAGTACGACCGCTTGCGCGAACCTTTGCTCCAACGAGCGCCCTGCGGATGGTGGTTTGGTCAAACGTTGAACCCCTACAATGTATCGTGTTGGCCCGCCGCAACACCACGAGCGTGACGAGATACTCCCGACCTCCAACGGATCCGAATCATTCGTTTTCGTAAAATTCACGGTGATGGCCAGCATGATGTGACCCACACGCAGAAGAACGACTTGAAAAGGGTTGGCCGCTCAACATGAGCGAAACGTCATCTCGGCTGCCTGATTGACTCAAAATCATTTGTTCACACAGGTCAAGGCGCATGGAGCACATCAATCGAGGCGGCAGTTGTCGGACGAGGAGGTGCATGAGCCTGCTTTGGTGAGGCAACCACTTGAGTCCCGTTGCATTCATGAGAGCTCGGGGGCTGAATACGTTTCGTCATGTTTTGTGCATGTCGTCTGTAGGTCCGCCTGTGTTGCTGTAGACATCTAATAGTACCTGATAGCTCAAATTCTGTCAACAGTTGCATGCATACAAGAAGTCTTACCGATCTTACCGATCGTACCGAGTGAGGGATCCAAGCCGGTGCTCAGGCATGACACCTCAGAAGCGTATATAAAAAAGGGAACCACGTACGTGCATGGGGGCCAGTATCGGCGCACGTCGACCAGCAAAGGCGTGGCTGTGGTCCGGCTGAAGGACCACTGCTCACAATGTCATGTTCTCGTTTATTCTCCCTAATGCCCATACCTTGGTATTGAGCACGCTTGGGTACACTCCAAGCTGTTGACGGCCAGCAAAAATACATGCCAACGCCATAGATCTGACCTGCAATGCGCCGGTCCCGATATCCCAACCTCAACTGTCCAACCAAAGCCCAATGCCTGAAGATTCGCCGATACAACGCCATGGTCTGCCATCCTGCAGGAAGGATTCGACGCCATTCAAGTAGCAAAACGGTCACAGGGAAGCCGACAAGGGCTGGGCGAAGTTGAAGCCTACAATGCCCTCGGCAACGGCATTCTGCCACGCGTTGTCGGCCCCCGACATGACGGAGATTCGGCGTCCAATGATCCCATCATCGCCGACCTGCAGTGAGATGGGCTGGTTCAGCACCAACTCGAGAGCATCGCCCCCCTGCACAACGGCCCCGTCGGCAAAGTTGAACTCGTGGAACAGCCCGCAGTCTTCTCTTCGTCTCGTCATGTCGCCCGATTTGCTGTGGATGGTCAGATCGAAACTGAGGAGGGGCACAATGAAGTACGTACTGGATGATGAACGTGAGCCCTCCCAATGCAGACGATGCATGACCCTCGCCCCAGGTCCAACGAGCATGCGTCGCTGTAGAGCTGCATGGGTCGCCCGGTGTGTGGAAAGAAAGATCGCCTCGCATTTTCTGGCCCTCCGTCTTGACCAGACCGTCGGTCGGATTTAGTACGGCCAGAGCGCCGCCTCGGGGCCTGTTGGAAGTATCGGGGCCACACATGGTTCGTGAGGGTGTGCTTCGGTACGATGGTTCGGTGAGCGTCGGCCAATGCGGGAGATGCAATGCAAATGAAATTGAACAGAACGATCAAAGACAAAAATTTCCAGCGCAACAAAGATGACTGCCCTTTGGAACGAAGACCGGCTTTACATATCAACGGCGTGGGAGCTCGATATAAGACGACCCTGATGGCTCGGTCCCTGGCGAGACATGGAACACCGGGGTGGCCCAAGCTCCCAAGGGCCGACACACCGAAAACATGCGCAAACCGCGTCCCTGCCGATAGATGGGGGGGCGGTACCTGACATAAGACAGGTGCCGACGAATCATAGCCTGGCATTGTTGAGAAGATTAGAGCAAGTATCAACCACGCGCTTGATGCCTCGTCAGTCGACAATGCATCCCAGTTTCAGCCGGATCATCGACCATCGCAGGCTTGATCTCGACGTCAAATGGCTATCATGGCAAATGTCATGAATGGCATCTGCAGCATAAGCTAGCTGTCATGAAAGAGTGCCGACCATTTACCCCGCCGTCGAGGATCGTCCCGTAAGCCCATGACGAGGGGCGGCCCTCAGGGTTCCCATCGGAGACTCGCGCTTTCCCAGTCGCGCATCCAGTCGCGCAATGCAACGTGCTCCAACCCGCGGCAAGCACGTCAGCCGGCCCTCTCGGCACGTTGACTGAAGCAGGAGCTTTGGGAGAGGACAGCTGCCTTGATTAAACTGCTCAAACCCCGCCGCCATGGGCCAACCTTGTGTCTGTTCGACAGAAACCCCCTCCTTCTTGTCTTCTTCCCTCTATCAACACTTCTCCTTGTCCTGCTGTCTCTCCCCGACAGAGCTTTGAGCCCTGAAGAAAGTCATACCGTCCCAACCGTTTCTGCTCCCTTGTAGTGTCGACACGACGTGCGATTCAGCCACAATCCACCATGGCATACTCACTTCCCCCTCTGCCGTACGCCTATGATGTTCGTCAAACCCCTCCCCTGGCGTGGTTTCCTGCCGGCCGGCCGCCTCATGTGACGCTTGAAAAGAGCCAACAGCCATCATTGTCGGCTGCCTCGTACTGACTGTCTACAGGCGCTCGAGCCACACATCTCGGCCCAGATCATGGAGCTGCATCACAGCAAGCACCACCAGACGTACGTCACCAACCTGAACAAGGCTCTTGAGACATACAACCAGAACCCCCTGTATGCCCGCGCCGGTGTCCTTGCTGCTCTCAACTTCCATGGCGGTGGCCACATCAACCACTCTCTCTTCTGGGAGAACCTCTCGCCAGCGTCGAGCCCCGACGCCAGCACCGACTCGGCCCCGCAGCTCATCGCCGAGATCTCCAAAGTCTGGGGCGGACTCGACCAGTTCAAGTCGGCTTTCAACGCTGCTCTTCTCGGCATCACCGGCAGTGGCTGGGGCTGGCTCATCAAAGACGAGACGAACCGCCTGGCCATCGTCACCACGAAGGACCAGGACCCCGTCACCAAGGGCGTCCCCATCTTCGGCGTCGACATGTGGGAGCATGCATACTACCTGCAGGTACGTCACCTCGAGTTCTGTCCTATGCACCAGCACCTGACGCGCCGCCCTAGTATCTTAATGGCAAGGCTGCCTATGTCGAGAACATCTGGAATGTCATCAACTGGAAAACAGCTGAATCTCGCTTCTCGGGAGCGCGCGAGGACGCCTTCAAGGCTCTCAAGGCTGCCCTCTAGACTACTCAATTCACCATGAACCCTTCTTACTATACTCCAACACCGCACTCCCCATGTGACGATCGCAGCCTCCTGCCGGGCATATGGCCGGCTCATGTCTCGGCCCTGCCCAACCCCAACAGCTCGCTAGCCTTGCTCTACCATACACTCAGCCGTCACAGAGTCTGAATCAGATATTTCGGCTCATCCTACTGCTCATGATATGCCATTCTTGGTTCTATAAAATTGCCAGCAAGAAATGACTTGGGCGCCACCGGGGCTGGTGTAGTGCCAGCACCACCCACGTCCTCTTCTCTTGAGGCACGCGTCTCTTGAGGCATGCGACACAACAGCGTCACACCGACAGTGGAAGCGTCGACGGTCGCCTGCTGCCCAGGGCTGCCCACAAAACCTTAGGCTTCACACATCATGACCTCGCAGAGCACCGCTTCGTGTGACGCCGTGGGTGCGTGCTGGGGCCACCATCCTCTCGACTATGCCTCAAACTCACCCGATAGCGTTCGTGACACACGAATGCTGACTCTAGACGCCAGGATGCCGTGCACCTCGTGCGGCGGGCCATTCACATGGCCAACATTGACCAACGGCAGCATGCTCCCGTCGTCCCTTTTGCGGACCTTCTCTTTGCCATTGCTAACCCTCCTCCTGGTCACTACTGGATCCAAGTTCAGGGGCGTCCAATGGCTTTTGCCTACAAACAAAAATACCCGAACGGCGGCATCAGATCCCCGAAAAGGCTCCACCGAATGACCTGATGCGCAAACGACGAGGGCAGGCTGACGTGGGATTCATCAACCTTCAACTGACCCGACCCCGACGACAAAAAGGCGGGCGCCACGGGGAGCAGGTCTCCGGCCCGTGTCCCTGACGACCCTTGACGAGTACACTGCAGCAGCATTGCGCATTCATTGGCACGCTGTGTCAAGTGCCATATATGCACGGTATCCTGTCACTGCCTGATGTACGCATGGCGCCATTCACCCAGATCTGCATGCAAGATGATTGCAAGGTTGTTTCCTCTCAACACCGCCAGTCTGGCTCAAGCTAATCACCATGATCCTGTGCTCCCTGACCGCTGCCTCCACGCTCTGGTCCACATATCTTGTAACTCCAGAGCCGAGCTAGAGAAACAGAGTATGTCTGGGTTGCGGTGGGGCCACTCTTGAAAGCTGTGCACTGCTGGGCAGCCACGTTGGCTTTCCCGGCTAGGCTGCGGAGGTTGGTGACCTCGTGGCTACGACTGCTCTGAATATTCGCTCAGCCGGCGGTCCGCAGATAGCCCCGGGCAACGAGCAGACAATCGTCGGTTCCACGCAGGTCAGCTGCTGCAGGTACCCGAGGCTGTACAACATGAACCTGCCAATGCCGGTTTTCGCCTGTTCGACAGACCCGGAGGCCACGGTACTTTGGGCACTAGCGCAGGAATGTGTCTGTGTTGATGTAAGTTGTAGCTTGATCCTATCTACGGCAAACGTTTCCTCCAGTCGTATTGGGAACCAGGGTAAGAAGAGCCCCCTGAGCCTTCGGAGATTGGATTTAGTGGACATTGACTTGAAGTTGATTGTGCCTTCAGCCGAGTACACTTGGCAATAAGACACTGTAAGTAAGTGAAAAAATCACCTCCATATGCACTACCTCCCAAATTCAGCTTCGGCTCCGGTGATGCGTCATTGAGGCCTTCGAAAGGCTGTAGCCAGTGACTGCTGCCGAGTAAGGCATGACCAAGAATGGAAAGCAAGCGTTTGTACTCAGCATACACATGCACACAGTTCAAAGTGCGAAGACTAGGCCACCGGAGCCCTGCTTCTTGACGAGCATATCGGCGTTCGAGGTCCGTCCACCACAAGTTCCTATTACGCGAATTTGCTACTGTACGGAGGAACTCAGCTCCTTTCGTCTGTCATTTCTAAGCGTCTTCAGATTCGTACCTTGACCCCTTACGCCACAGGTATACGAAGAGAATAACTCGACAATCTCAGCTGCTCCATTCTAGATGGTGCGCCTTAGTTCCAGTCTGTCGATGGCCGTATTGCAGTCAGGGGCTGGCAGCCCCTGTTCACACTATTGAGAATCACGTTATCTCCAAACAGTCGAAAGCAAGACACAATGCACTAGCAGCCACCGCCTCTTTACCTTGAACCAAGTCGGTGGCGGGTAGCACGGGCACTTGCATGGGTGGTCCCGACAAGATTTGAAGCCATTGCTCAAGGTGAATACGCGGCCGCAGCGAAAAGCTGTCTAATTTGGGAGCCAGCATGGACCATGGGAAGCCGCTGGTCAGACGGGTACAGCTGATTGCATAGCATTCTGTCGTGCCTGTGAAAGGCCTTGAAATACGGGGTCTCGGGGAACAGAGTCAAGGCCATTTTCTGGTATATAAAGCGAGCAGCTTCGATGCTGTTCTGCCTTGTGCTTCAACGGTTTGATTCTCAAGGCTAGACACAGTAGCTGGAACATCATCTCCGCCCTTGGTTGGGCATCACATTCGTTCATCTCTTTGAATCTCTTCACCCGGGTCTCGTATCACCATGATGAATATCCTCGCTCATCTGGCATTGTTCAGCCTCGGGTAGGCTTCGCGGACCATCTGCATAATGACCTTTTGCTGACCATGCGATTAGGAATGTTGCAGTCAGGGCATCCCCCCAGGCCTACAATGAGCACGAACCGCCGTCGACTGTCACCGTCACTACGCGTGCTGTAGGTTGTGCAACCACCACTGTGACCGTGACTCAGTCGGCTGGTTCATGTGCGCCATGTTTGGCAAGCTCTGCTTCCTCGGGCGTGGAATCTTCTGCCACTGTCACCGAGACGCCCAGTACGATCGAGTCCACGCTGCCCATCATCCCGTCGACCCAAACGTCTGGTCAGATTAGCTCCTCTGCTGCCATCTCAAGTTCCGTCCCAACATCGGGCACATTCACAAACTCAACTGTGTCGCCCTCTGGCCCTTCATCGAGCCTACCATACAGCATCACCAGCTCGGGTGGATCCGTTTCTTCTACTCTTCTCTCTATCAGCATTTCCGTCCCTTCCAATTCCACGACGACGACGAGCGCTCTCAGCAGTGACTCGACAACTGTTCCGTCTGGGAGTATCAGCTCCTCACTTTCCTCGTCGTACGATAGCACACCGTCTTCGCCAACACTCTCTGCGAATAGCACGAGAAGCTATATCTACCCGAGCTCCTTTTCTGTGACCGGCTCCGTGTCCACCTTTGCTTCTCGCAGCGCAACCAGCAGTGACACAGCGACCGGGTCCCTTCCTACTTCTGGCCTGCCTTCGTCCAGCGCCGTAACTTCTGGCGGCATCAGCAGTGGACTTTCTGGTACTTCTTCTGCGAGCGGAATCTCGTCAACGCTCCCTGTTCTATCGTCTCAGTCGAGCAGTGCCGGGACCAATTCGACTTGGACCTATCCAACACGCACTTCATCGGGAGGAACGGGCGTCTCCTCAACGCTGCCTTTGTCATCTGGCACGTCGAATGTTGAGACAAGCAGCGGCAGTGCAACTTACCCGCCTGGATCCTCGTCCGCGCCGACTGACACATCTTCCCTCGCAGTCACATCCGATGTTTCCAGTATTGAGAGCAGTGTCTACACGTACCCACCAGGGCCGTCCTCTGGCTTATCAAGCGTGTCTTCAAGCATGACAACTTCTAGCAGCTGGGGCAACAGCAGTACCACCAGATACTCGACCGCTACAGTGTCAAGCGCAAGTGTCATTTCCTCGTCGACTGGTTTCGAAAGCTCGTCCTCAGAGCTCACGACTACCACAACGATTGAAACGACCGTGACACGCACCAATACCTACACACCGCCGGGCACGAGCTCGAGCCCCTCTTCTGGATTTTCAAGCGCCCTGCCAAACCCAAGTGGCTCAACCTCTATTGAGCTTTCATCGCACTTATCCTACCCCACCTCGTCGCCACGACCGTCTGGCACGAGCAGCTATCTCAGCAGCAGCTACATCGAGTCTTCTGGAACGGGAGTCAGCGATACCATGCCGGTCACTTCGGGTGCTTCTGCCTCTGTTTCCAGCAGCGTGACGAGCTCATCTCCCTATGGAAACTTCACGACCACGGGTCCCACGTCGACCATTTTAGATGTTAGCTCTACTACAACATCCGGGACCGGAATCAGTGAAACTCTTCCCATCATCTCGGAGACCTCCGTATTTGGGTCGAGCACCACGGAAACTTCGTCCCTATATAGCTTCACGGTCACGTCTGATGTTGGGACCACCTCGGAAACCAGCTTCGTCGGGTCGTCAGGGACTGGTATCAGCGAAACTCTCCCCATCATCTCAGATACTTCGACCACGAGAGAGAGCTCCACGGTGACAGGAGCCGAACCGTCGGCAAGCAAGACCAAGACACCATGCGTTACTCGCTCGCACTCGTCCGACGTTGAGACGTCATCCGCGCCCGAATCAAGTGAGATCAATTCTTACCCTCCCAACGAGAGTACCGTGTCCGGCAACTTGCCGATTACGCCTTCATCGGACGTTCCCTCATCACCGACATATTCTCCTCCTGCTGACAGTACGATTTCCGGGAACCTTCCCGTGACGCCTTCGGTAAGCCTGTCTTCTACGGAGGCGTACCCCTCGTATCCATCCGTAGAAAGCACCTCTGGAGAGAGCACGGTTTCGAGCAATCTACCCATCACACCAACGCAGAGCTCGACCAAGGTCGAGTCAGAGACGTTCCCTCCTTACCCGCCTCCTGAGGAGAGTACCGTCTCGGGAAACCTCCCCGTCACCCCTTCTCAGAGCTTCCCAAGCAACGGCACAGCAACCTCCTCTCTGTTGCCCAGCGGAAGTACGTCAGGAGCCGGGTCGTCGACATCGGTGCCCAGCGACTCATCAACGACCTCGATCATCAGCGAGAAGCCGTCCTACCTTCCCACGCCGAGCACAGTGTATCCTGAGCCGACCCCTTCAAGCGAGTCTACCATCTCCGACGCGCTGCCGGTCACACCCTCTAGCGGTGCCGATGTCCCGCCCAGCACGCTTGTGACGAGCACCAAGACGGCGCCCGAGACGAGCAAGAGCAGCGAGCCCAGCGGACCGACATCGTACTATGGAGGGTATGACTTTGGCTGGACGAGCGGTGGCCGCGCCGGATGGAAGCAGCAGCGCAAGGAGAAGGAGCGCAGAGGCATGTTCGGGCTCTTCCCGTAAGATAATGCAAATGAAGACCTGCGCAAATGGAGTCACGACACGAGGTGGAAGAGTGACTGGGGAGGGACGGGGTAATCAGACCTCACGGCTGGAGTACAAATCGGCGGAGGAGATGCTTGGGTTTTCACGGCCCCTTGACATTTCATTTAATTTTCCATTCTTCGGTGCTCTCGAGTTGATATTGAATAGACGGGTTGGTGCACACGTACGGCCATTGAGGTCGCGGATGTCTGACTTGATCATCGTGACAGCTGATCTCATCAAGTTACTGAACCCATCACCCCTCAGACTCCAAGCTCACGATCGGCCAGCAACCTGTCCATCGCCTGCGCCTCCAGATACACCGAAACATCCATGCCCCCATCCCTCCCCTCCATCACCTGCACACACCCGTCCATCCTCGGCATGACAGAGTGAACCCACGCCGGCCTCGCCCCAAACAACTCAATCTCATACACGCCAGTCCTCAGCCAAGACGTCACGAGAACGTGCCTCTCCCCCAAGAAGGCCTGCCAGATCCTTTGCGGCGAGACCTCCCCCTCGGCATCATGCAGCACAGCCGCGACGGCGTCAGGCGTAAACCTCTGCAGACAGCGGCGAATCGCCACCGCCACCGCCGCCGGCCCGGCGACGACCTCGCGCGCAGCACGCCCCACGTGCGCCAGCACGAGCGGCGACCCGACGAAGGCGTCGCCCAGGGGCGGCGCCGTCCTCGCCCGCACGCCGAGCGTCAGGTTGAGAAAGACGTCTTCGTCCACGAGGCCGCGCGCGCGCACGATGCGCGCCCAGACGTGCGCCAGCAGGGCATCGAGCCGCGACGCGCCGTCGACGCGCAGCGCGCCGAGGGCGGCGTCGGCGAAGTGCAGGACGGCGTGTTTGACGGGGCGCAGGAGATCCCACGTCGGCCAGGGTGGGATCTGCAGATCGGTCCGCGGGATTTCTTCTTTTGCTACCGCTGCTGCTGCTGCGGGGAGGTTCGCGGCTGTGGGTTTCGAGTTGGCCGTCGTCGACGCGAGGAAGGCCGGGTAGGCGGGCGCGGTGGTGGCCCACCAGTCGAACCTGTGCAGCGGCAGCGCGCGCGCCTGGGCCGTCAGCGCGGCGTCCCTCTCGCGCGTCGGACGGCCGGCGGCGTGGATGGCGTGGGCGTCGAGACGGCGCGGGGCGAAGACGGGCGTGGTGGGCGGCGGGCGGGCGGCGTGGGCGGCGGACCAGTGGCGCATGAACTGGAGCAGCGTGTGCGCGTCGGCGAGCGGGTGCGCCAGCTTGACGGCGACGGCGTAGCCCCGGGGCAGCAGGGTGATCTGGACGATCATGGCGGGCAGGCCGTCGGCTGTGGTGAGGTCGTGCAGCGCGAGGGGCGTCTGCGAGGCGAGGAGGGCGTCTTGCGGAAACGTGCCCTCCCAGATGGTGGCCTTGGGGATGGAGATGTTTGTGGAGGAGGCGACGACGGTGTATTCGACGCCTGGGTCGGAGGGAGAGCCGTAGGTGACGGCTGCGCGGTTGAAGCGCTGGGTTGACGTGTCCCAGTGCAGTTGGCCGGCAAAGTGAGGGAATGAGGAGAGTGCTTTTGCGAAGGAGGCCTGAAGCTGAGAGAGGAAGGCCTCGCGAGCGAGAGGGGGATAGGCGTCGAAGACCCAGATGGCGCCCGTTGGAGAGAACCGAGCCACTGTGTTGTCCAGGATGGACAGGGCCGTCGTGGTTGGAGGACCTGGTGTTGAGGGAAATACGCGGACGGGCTGGTGAAGGGCCATTTTGGTGTGCCTCAGAGGGTGTTGATGGCCGAAGAAGAGTATCGTCACGATTCTGTGATGTGTCCCCTTGTATGTAATGTCCTCTTATATGGAACTTGAGCAGATACATCGCAGGCCACGCCGATGAGGATTGAAGATCAAAGATGCCGGCATGTGGCGCGGCACTCGATGGGACCCGCTATGAATCATCGTGAGCGATCAATCATCTTGAGCGGTCAATCATCGTGAGCGATCACGATCCTCTCCCAATGCGCGCCTCCAGAAACGTCTCTATACTCTATGAAGCAGGTCATGGATCCCAGGCAACCGAACACACACACACATCCAGGACAGCATGCCCATCATTTGCCCTGCGAGAACGAAACGACAGCCCACTTGCCATTCCACGCCCACTTGCGCGCCCCCGAGTCGCCGCCTCCGCCCTCCAGCGCCCGCAGCTCCTCGTCCTTGCCCGCCGGCAGTCCGACGACAACGTCGGCCTTGCACGTGCGGAGCGCCAGCACATTGAGACCCGAGCCGGGGCCGAGCGTCTTGATCGCTTCAGGGAAGGGTGTCGTCGGGTCCCAGTCGGCCTGTCATCGTTAGCAACCACGATCGTGAAGAACGGATGCACGCGCCGGGTACGTACGTCGCCGGTCAGCTTGCGGTAGTTCAGGTCGCCCTTGAAAACGACAAGCTCGCTGCCCTTGAGGTCCTCGTAGAGCTCGGGCGCCTCCTCCGGCAGCCGCCAGAAGCTGCCCGCGTGCGTCCAGAAGCGGTTCGGCCGCAGCAGCAGCTGGCCCTCGGCGTGGTACTTGGTCAGCGCGCCGAACAGGAACGCGAGGCTCTCCTGGTCCGCGTCGCGCAGCGGCTCGGGCGTCTTGCCCTGCAGCTCCTCCTCCGCCGACGGCGTCTCGTAGAAGCGCTTCGGGCTGGCAATGGCCCCGAGGAGCGCCGCAAAGTCGCCCGGCAGCACGTCCGAGACGAACCACGGGATCGACTTGGGGTGCAGCACAATGTGCGTCGCGAGGCCCGCCGACAAGAGGTAGCCCGCGAGGATGAGGTCGACGTAGAGCTCAAAGCCTGCGTTGTCGAGCACAATGTCGACGCGGCGCTCCGTCTTGCCCTCGACCACGGCCTTCATCAGCACGGCGTACGCGGCCGGCAGGTCGTTGGCGAGAATGTTCTTCTCCGACGCCTTGCGCGCCTCGCTGCCCTGCAGCTTCTGAATATCCTCGTACGTCAGGCTCGTCAGCAGCGAGAGGTCGGTGGCGTTGCCCCAGAGGCAGATCTCGCACATCTCGGCGAAGAGGAGCTTCTCGGCCGCCTCGTCTTGGGTGGCGCTGCCGTTGGCTTCGAGCTGCTGCACGAGCTCCTTGAAGCGGGCGGCGAGCTCGAGGACAGCGGGGCGGGACGATCGGAATGTGTTGATCTTCTGGCGGGCAAAGACATCGTAGTTCTTCCAGTGCGTCGAGAGCTTAAAGTAGGTGCTGATGCGACTGTTGCGAAGGCACCTGTCAACGTTGCCCTCGGGTCGTGGTCCGGCAGCAAGTCATATGAAGTCAAAAGAAAGTAAGGAAGATGAAGGGGAAAAAAAAAAAAAAAAACGCACCGGAAGAGATAGCACTCGCAGAAGAGCCAAGGCGTATTCAGCCAGGTGGGCTCGCCGAGACTGGCGAGCTCATCGTTGTAGAGCTTGACGTCGGGCTGGCCGTCGTCGTCAATCGGCGTCAGAGGACGGTCGTGCTGAACCTCATACTTCAGGCGGGCGATCTTCTCGGTGACTGCCTTGCCCTCGGTCTTCTTCTCGCCTTCTTCGCTGTCGGAGACGGAACGGTAGAGGTCGTCGATGGCTTGCGTCTAAGGCCGCACATCAGCAAGGCGACAGGGGCCATCGTGGGATGGGGGGTTCATGGCGCACAATGATGACAGGCCAGCGCTCGCGCGCGGTGACCCAGCCGAAAGACCGCTTCTCGCCGGTGCTGTAGGAGACTTGGCAGTGCTGTTAGGGGTGACTCGATGAGCTATGTGGCCGAAGAACGAACGTACTGGGCATCTTGAGGATTTGGCTCGTGATGACGCAGGAAGCTCGAGATGGACAAAAGGCTCGAAGCACGAATGCCGAATGCCGTACACGGTGGTCGATGGCGGGGCATCGCGGGGTCGACACCGACATTTGCATGATCTGGTTACATGACAATTGATGTATGGCATAGTTGTATAGAAGCACAAACACGGTTACCTACATACCAACCACTCCTCCTTCCCATGATCTTTGTGGCCCAGGACCAGAACAATGACAGCAAAAAATCATCATGTTTCTCAAAGAAACGCTGAAATTCATGAACAGAAACAGACATTCCATCGGAAGCCTCTCGAAGCCTCCATCATCACGAGTGGAGCACCAACACACACACACACAGCACCTCCGACGCCACGTTACCATGCCCCTATTCTCGCGCACTCATGCAGCCGACCATGCCTCTATTGCCGCTCACCCATGCAGCCGACCATAACCCCATTCTCGCGCACTCATGCAGCCATACCCTCAACGGCCAGTCAACTGCCGGGAACCCAGGTCTCCGGCGTCCAGTTCTCGGTGCTAAAGTCGGGCCAGTAGAGCCCCTGCGAATAATCGTCATACACCGACGCGTCAATGAACTGCATGTCGAGGAACGGCTCGGCCAGCAGCTCCTGCAGTGAGGGCTCCGTCAGTGCCATGCCGGCCGTCGCCATACCCTGGACCGCCGTCGTCGTCGAGGACGCCCACGCCGCGGGCGACATGACGCCGGCGAAATCACCGAGGCCCGTTGTGGCCTCGAGGCCCACGACGCCTCTCTTCTTCGATGCAGCCGCCGTGACAGCCGCCTTCATGGCATCCACGTGCTTCATGTCCTCTTTCGCTGCAAAGTTGCCACCATCCGCAAGCTGCGCCAGCAACCCAGACGCCGAATCGAACTGCTCTCGATCGGCGGCAGCGTCGGGCCCGTCGAGAAGGCTCGACACGGCGAGCACTGTCAACGCCGAGAAGAGATACGAAGTGTAGAAGTAGTCAAACGTCGCGAACGAGCCGTCGATCCAGCACTCTGTCAACAGATGCAGAGAGTGGCGAGCGCATCGTACGCAAGCAGCCACGATCGTCATGGCCGACGCCGGCACGGGCATCGCGCCAGCCGGCGCCGGCCATGCGGCAGCGTGCGTCTTCAGTACATGCAGTAGGATGGGCCTCGTCGCCAGGATCGCCGACTGGTTGAACGACAGATGAAGAGGCGTTGGCTTGTACGCGGCCTCGCTGTGCGGCGCCGCATCGAGATGAAGGTGGCTTGGCAGCTCTTGCACCCACTCACGAAGGTCCTTGAGCGTCTGCTGCACGCGGCTCGAGAGCGTGGTGCTCTGATCCCGCGTGTTGTAGATGCACCGAACCATGGTGCTGGTGATGCTGGCGAGACGCGAGCTGGCAATGTAATACGCGCAGTCACCAAAGTCGCCAGCGACAGCAGCGTCGACGCTGGCGTTCGAGGGAGGATCGACCATGATGTCGCGGTCGCCAATAGCTGCCGGCTGGCCCAGCTTGGAAGCCCACATGCGATCGAAAATGCAAGTCGTCGCCCAGAGCCGGTTGCGGTGCTCACGGACCGCGGCATCCGGTAGTTGCGCGGCCGGGATGTTGAGGTGCAGCCCGATGAGGACCGCCATGCGCACGGCCATGCCCGCCAGGATGTAGGAGGTGTATCGCCTGTTGAGGGCGAGGGAGTAGAACGACTTGGCCCTATTAGCGTCACGACGTCACGGCCTCGAATGGCATCACGGCAGCAGGGACACGCACCAGGAGATGGATAATCTCAATCGCATCAATCGTCGGTCGCTCGCTCAGAACACTCAACATGCGGCTCGCTTTCGCAAAGTACGGCAACCCAGGAAAGTCTTTGCCCGGCGCAATCGATCGCGCCGAATACAACTCGCCAATGGCGAACAGACCCCAGAGCTTACACCGAATGAGCGACTCACCCCAGGCCGGATTGTGGATGCTGTGCTCGAGTGCATCCATTACCACACTGCGTCGCACAATGTGGTAACATCGGCTCACGTAGCGCAGGGCGACCTCAACGAGAAACCGTGCGCGCGAAGGACTCGGCCACGCGCATTCAGACTCGGTCAGGCAAGCAATGCGCTCGTCGGTGGCGAAGGCCGTCCGAGGAATGTGCTTATACGGCTGCTCATGCGGCGCCGAGATGGCCTGCCGAAAGCGAGTCGAAAACGAGGCATCCGGCACCTCGCCGATGAGAATGGGGGTCTGCTGGTCGGTCGATGGGACGAACCAGGGCCGAACCTCGAGCATGATGTTGCTCGTGTTGTTGCGCGCCACATCGGGGCTGTCAAGCACGTCCAGGTCCCGGCGTGGCGACGGGGCCGTGCTGACCGAAAGCGCCGAGAGTGAGCTGGCATTGGGGTTCGTCGTGTCATCGAGCAGGCCCTTGAGCCGCTTGTTTTCCTCGATGAGATCGTCTATGTACCTGAACGGGGTCAGCCGGGGGAGGGGCCTTTGAGCCAGGGGCTTGGGGACGGACGGGGGGGGGGGGGGGGGGGACCGGTCGGGAACGGGAACGGGCGGGGGAGGGGGTTGACGTTG